TTTAGCTAGCTAACACTGCTAGTTGTTTCATCGGAAAGTTCAAACCCACAGAGCAGATTCAGAAACAACTGGAAATGCATACCACCTCAGGAAGTTAAAATTATATACTAAAATGAGGCTCTGGGATTATAATATTTATTAATTTTATCACATACCACAATTCTCCTGCACAGCCAGGAATAATAGTTGTCTATACTTGCTGCTTTGGAATAGAACATGAATTCTAGCTCAATGCTCCGCAAGCAGTTATTTAATTGTGGTAACTTTCTTTTTTTTTTTTTTTTTTTTTTTGAGATGGAGTTTCGCTCTTGTTACCCAGGCTGGAGTGCAATGGCGCGATCTCGGCTCACTGCAACCTCCGCCTCCTGGGTTCTGGCAATTCTCCTGCCTCAGCCTCCTGAGTAGCTGGGATTACAGGCACGCGCCACCATGCCCAGCTAATTTTTTGTATTTTTAGTAGAGACGGGGTTTCACCATGTTGACCAGGATGGTCTCGATCTCTTGGCCTCGTGATCCACCCGCCTCAGCCTCCCAAAGTGCTGGGATTACAGGCGTGAGCCACCGCGCCCAGGCAATTGTGGTAACTTTCTATGACCCAAGTGTCCTGAAATAGTAAATGTAATGTCCAGAGATTGCTTAAGTTGCTAACAGATTTAGCTGTCTGAGAGTGAGAACACGAATGAAAAAAATTCACTCATACTCTAATAACATAGCAGAAAAATAAAATCTGACAACAAAATAAGAGGGAGGTTTCCACAGGGCTTTAAGTATTCCAGTTTCACATAGCACCAGATTAGTGACATATCTGGCCCTTGGCTATGCTCACAGGTGCCTGTGCCTTAAGACATCGGGGAAGGGAGAAAAAAACAATTAGTTACTGGTAACGATTGCAATGAACTGTATGGCTTAGTCATTTCGAGATGCTATAAGAAAATACCACAGACTGGGAAGTTTAACCAACAGAAATTCAAGCTATACCCTTTAAGAAATTGTTCTATTAATCATCTAGGATATATTCACTAATTACAGCTGTAGACTTAACATGCTTATTTCAGAACCAACTGTGGCAGAGAATTCCAACATAGATTTTTGTATTTGTTTGTAGCAGCTATTATTAGATTAATATAAATATGTTCACATTTACGGTAAGGAAGTTTAGCTTGTTGACCTCTCACTGTGTTTTAAGTACTAATATTTCATAAAATTTAATTCACCTAAATTATTGAAATAGTTGTAACTGCCATTTCACAAATGAGGAAATTAAAGCTTAGAAAACTTAAGCAACTTGCCTGAGATGAGACAAATTATGCAGAGAGAGGATTTGAACTCTGGTGTGCAAGTCTCCAGAGCACTTTTATGTTCTTTCCAATAAATATCTTGCACCCCAAAAAGAAAATACTATATAAACTGTACATAGTATACAGATTACTGCATTTGTTAGACCATTAGGACATGTATTTCTTCCACAAACACTTATTCTGTGCCTACTTTGTTCCACGTCCCATCCTAGGACAAAACACCCTTTCTATTGAGACAGAAGAGCAGTAACTTAATTTTTGTTACGTTATGCCCTGGTCTGCATTTTTGTGTTTCCCCAAATTCACAGATGGGAATCCTAACTTTCAAAGTTTGTTAGTAGACAGGACCTTTGAGAGGTGATTAAGTCATGAGGGTTTGAGCCCTCAAGAATGAGATTAGTGCCCTTATAAAAGAGGCTCAAGATGGCTGGGCAATTCACTCATGCTTGTGGTCTCAGCTACTCAGGAGGCTGAGGCAGGAGGATTGCTTGAGCCCAGGAGTTCCAGGCTACAGTGAGCTATGATTATGCCACTGCACTCCAGCCTGGGTGACAGAATGAGACCCTGTCTCCAAAAAAAAAAAAAAAAAAAGAGGTTCAACAGAGTTCCCTCATTCTTTCTAAAATGTGAGGACACAGCAAGAAGTCACTATCTGAAAACCAGGAAACGGAACGCTCTTTAGACACTAAATCTGCTGTTGTCTTGGACTTCCCAGCCTCCAGACTGTGAGAAATAAATTTCTGTTCTTTACATGCTACCTAGTTGATGGTATTTTGTTATAGCAGCCTGAAGGGACTAAGACACTAGATGCTCTGAAATTCTAAATATCCTTCCAGTTTTAGTTACTCCCAAGAAATGAGGGAAGTATCAAGAAATAGTTCAGTATCAAATTTAGACATTGGGAGTAAGGAAGATTGAACATTTTTCTTAAAATGCATTGATAAGTACTACTGAGAAATGTTAGTCTTAAGAATATTTGGTGTAATAAAGACTGAAGGCTTTCTTTGCAAAATTTAGGAGGGACATTCCCTGGGATGAACATGTTGGCTGCACCCCACGTTATTGGATGCAATGACAAAGCAGAAAAAAAGTAGCACGCACTCTGTATGGAGTACCAACATACCACAATTGGCAGATTCTGCCAAATTCATACGGGCATAGTCTGAGAGAAAGAACAATGTTATTTAAATAAGTAACAGTCCTAATTAATAGTTAATTCTATTATAAAATCAGACATGCTTTTATTATGGAAATTTATGAAACTACTGTAGTCTATAAACAAAAATAGAGCAGAAATAAAAACTTGCAATTCTTCAAATACGTGAAGCCCAGAGTATGTAATTGATTCTCATATACTTAATTTTAGGGTTTAATCCATCTAAGATTTAATACAATCTAACCAGACTAGGCAAAATATTTTGAGGTAGTATGGGTCATGACATCTTCAGTTCTTATAAATATATTGATGTTAAATTTGGGAACAAATGAACATCTCACTGATATGAGGTATCTAGCAATTCAATAATTCCAGATACCCAAACTCTCAAAAGTTAAGTATTTAAAGTTCCAGATACACTTTTTAGTGCTGGTGTCATAAGTGACTACTTTCTTAAAAATAAAAAGCAAGTTGGGGGTACTATGGAATAAAACTATGACCCATTTTTGTGTTTTACAGCAAGAAACCTGTAACCCAATAATTTTGCCAATAGTAACTGTGAGAGGTCTAATAATTATGGGAATACATTATGTGTATCTTACAGATAAAAAGAAATAGGATGAAGTCTGTTTATTAGTCAGTTCATAGCCTGCTGGGAAATATGGGAAAAGGGGAAAGGCACAGTGGAGGGCTTTATCTCAGACGAACTGTGTTATCTTGAAATGGCAAATTTGTGCTCCAGGGTGGTCAGGGAAACAAGTTTCCCCTACAAATGGAGAAAACGGAATTAAAAAAGAAAAAAAAAAAAAAAAACCACCAAAAACCCTTTTAGTTGGTTTCCTACTGCTATCCACAATCCCAATAGATGGACATTTCATAAAAGATGTGAAGCGAGATGTGTAAATATGAATACAACACACTATATAAATACCAGGGGTGCTTTAGTATAAAAGAATGACTACCGTAAGAGTTGTCAGGATACAGAAAAGCAGAGAACAAAGCGCATGTCAGGAGAAGGGTGTCTTCGCAGAAAGAAGTCACAGGCATTAAGAAAAACCTTGCAATGGGAGAAAATAAAGGTACATCAACAAGGCGAGAGCCACGTGGCGGGATAATAGGGATGCTGGCCTAGTGTTTCCAGAAGCGACAAACCTGGTAAACTTTTATAACTTTCTGAAGGGTGCTACACGGTAAAATACGGTCATTCTGCAAAAAAAGTGTGCCCAGTGTAGCCTCAGGAGTCACGGACTTCAAAAGAAAGAAACGGCCTCCTCGTAGTGAACACAGTACCTCGTGGCTTTCCCAAAGTCATGGAACACGACTATCCCTAAAAAGAGTGTGATTTTAAGAGTGAATTACGATTCGCCCGCAAGCTGTGTACCGTGTGTGGACGAATGCTTACAGCCGGCGGTGCGGGAAGGCCGTTCGGAGACGTGCTCTCGGTCTGCGGCGGTCTCCGGGGACAATCAGGGACGGCCCGAGCCCCGGACTGAGCCCGGGTCCCGGTGCCCCGGGGCGCAGGGGTGGGGCCGGCCGCGGCCGGCTCCGCGCTCTCGGGCCCGCTCCTCCTCGGGCGCCGCCCACCTCGTGGGCTTCCAGGTGCGAGCGCTCACGCCGGGCCGGTTTTCCCGAGGCGCCGCCCGGGGCCTCGCGGCGCACGCGTCCGCGGCCGGGGCCGGTGCGTGGGTGCGCGGAGGCGGCGGCGGCCGGGCGAGGAGCCTCTGTGCCCGGGCCAGCGGCCACGCGGGCGCGGGGAAACCCAGAACTTCCCGCCCGGGAACGACTGCCCCCGCTCCCGGCTCCGGCTGGCTGGGGGGATGTTCTCGCGAGAGGAGAGGGGGCGCGGGGCGCCGCGGCTTCGGGGGCGCGGGGAAGCCTGAGGACGCGGGCCGGGCCGGGAGGGGAGCCGAGGCAGGCGGGCAGGGCCGGGACGCGGGGAAGCCGCTCCCGCCAGTCGCCGAGAGCCAGCCCCTGACGTCAGGAGTTTTCCTCAAAGTCAACAACAAGCCCCGCGGCGGCGGCGGCGAGAACCGAGCGGCGGCGGCCCCGAGCGGGAGGAAGGAGGGGGCGGGGAGGCGGCGGGGGTCCCCTCGGCGAGGCGCGGCCCGGGAGGAGGCCGCAGACCCCCGCCCCGCTCCGGGCGCGCCCGGGGGCCTCGAGCCGCCGCCCCGCCGGCGTGACCCGGCCCCCGCCCGAGCGGGGTTTTCTGGTGATGAATTCGTAGCCGATATCCGATTCCCAAGTCGAGTCTCCGCCTCCTCCTCTCCCCGCCGCCGCCCTCTCTCCTCCCTCCCCCTCCCGCCGCCGCCGCCGCCGCCGCCGCCGCCCGCTCCAGCTCCGCGGCCCGGCCCGGCCGGCTCCCTCCCTCCCTCCCTCCCCTGCAGCCCTCCGCGCGCCCTCCCGCCGGCCGCACCGGGCTCCAGGAGGCCAGAGGCTCTGCGGGGTGGGGGGAGGACAGGAGGGGAGGAGGAGGGAGGGGGGACCCCCGAGTCGCCCCCTCTCCTCCCCCCGCCCCCCCGGCTCCATCCTCCGCCGCCGCCCGAGCAGCTGCGGGGCCGCCGCCGCCGCCGCCTTTGCAGGTAACAGCCACCGCCCCCCACTCGTCCCCTCCCCGGCAGGCCTCCGCTCCCTCCGGGCCCCCGGCCCCGGGGCGCCCTCCCTGCCGCCCTCGGGCGGGGGGTGGCGGCGGGGTGGGGTGAGGCGGGGGCTTCTGGGTTGTCCCAGCGCCGGGGGCGTGGGCGGGGGCCGGGTCACCGGAGGCTTCGGGGGTGGGTGCGGAGGCCGGGGGATGCCCAGCGCGGTTGACACCGACACCCCCCGCTTTCCGGGGGAAGCTGGGGGGCGGCGGTGCGCAGCGGGCCGGGGGAGGGGTGTTCCCGGCCTAGCGGTACTGTCTGCGTCTGGGCTGCCCCGGCCCGGCGCCTCCTGTCTCTGCGCAGCTCTCGCTCCTTCCCCGGCCCCTCCCCGCCCGGGCTGCGCGGCGTGGGGAGGGGGCGCCCGCCCGGACCGGGGACGGCGGCGAGGTTATGTAACGCGTGGAACGCCGGTGTCAGTGTGTTTGGGTTGGGGGGAGGGAGCCGTCTGCCGCGCGCCCTGGCGCTGAGGCTGTCTGCGCGTGGGGTGGGGTGAAGGCGAGGATGCACAGGCGTCCCCGGGGTCTCCTTCCTTCCCCCACCGTTCCCCGCCACCGGCGCGCAGGAGAAGAAGGCACTGGTGGGGTGGGGGTGTGTGTGGGAGGTGGGTAACGTGCTTGTCTGTGTTTTTAATAGTAGTGGGGTTTTGATCCGCTTGGGAGTTGTGTTCTAAGAATAGAAGTGTGCGGAAGATGCTGGGTTTGGCTGATCCAGTGATGCTGTCGCTGCTGGCGGCGGCGGCGGCTGTGGCTGCAAGTAAACAAACCAGCCTCTTCCTTGTCCACCTCCTCTTGCGCATCGGTCCGCATCAGCCATGATGCCGGTGGGGCCCTTCAGAGCCCAAAGTTGAAGCCTAGCTGGTTGCTGTGTTGACCCTGACGCCGAGGCAGGGTCATCCCTTGTTTGGGATTTCCCGGGAATTTTCAGTTAGCCTAGAGATGGAGAAGCTCGTTGGGGCCAGGTTTTTCCAATGCCGATGTTTACTGTTTACGTTCTGAAAGCAGAGGAAATGCTTACCCATAAGTCAAAGCTGAGATGCTCACATTTCTTTTATCAAAGTAATGTTGTTAAGAAAATAAAACCAACTCATTTCACCAGTGTGGCATTTTGGTTGAAAGCCTGGTAGTTTGCAATTGATGAAGTTTCCAAATAGAAAGCAAACAGTGAAACCTGTGTTTCTATATTGATTAATTTCTAGCTCCATTAAAATGGTCAAACTTCATTTTTAGTTCTTGAGGCTAAAGATATACAACAGTGACTTTTTGTAGTTAATACATTGGCAGTTGTCTCAAGTCAACAGTTTACACATGTGTTCCATATTTGGTAAAGCATGGTCATATTACAGCTTTTAGTAGAACTATAAATCACTAGCCAACCACTGGGTTTTGTTTTTGGTAGAAACTCATTGGCTTAGGTTATATATTTACTTAGGAAAGCCAAAGGTGTAAGAGTCTAATAAAGATGGTGTAGGAAATGAAGATTAGTTTTCAGAACTTGAGTTTCACTTGCAAAATGTGTATAAACGAATATAAACATTCCAGGAGGTGGTTGTCTAAAACACGAAAATGTTTTATAATTAAAATAGCAACTTACTACTAAATTACTAGTTTTCCAAAGTTTATGACTTAATGCACAATTACATGCAAGATATTTATCAGGACTGTAATTTTTTTTCCTTTTGCCAGTACATTATCTTGATTTGGTATATTTACCAAGGTGATTGTACTGGAAAGTTTACCAGGGAGATGGTACTTGATCTTTTTGTTTTCCTCTCCGGGGTTGACCCCAATATCTTTGATTGGCTTGAGTTTCCAATTTTAAAGTGAGGGAGGGCAAATACTACATGAATGAGACAACGCTGAAATTTCGATGAATGTAGGGCTTTAGTTTTCAGTTGTGTGTTTGTATTGTGGATTTGCAGCATGTTTTCTTACAGCATTTAAAAAGTACAAAGTAATCCTACAAAAATTATGAAATTATTTGTATTCATTTGGCTTCCTTTCCATAACTATTACTCGAGTGAATTATTTTCCAATTTAAAACTAATTTTTGCCTTAATAATCTTGACATTGACCCTGAGCTGTATATTTCAGAGTACTTTAAGTTTCTGCTTTGGACTTTTAAAGAATGTAATTTTATAGATGTAAAATATTTTAAATAAGATTATATTTAACAAATACAGGAGTGTACTGTTTGCTGGTTTAATTAAAAACTAATACTTAAATTTCATTCAGAAAATTGCTGTCATTGGAAGGGATTTGTTTTCAGAGTCGCTGGAAATCTAAACGTGTTGATGAAACTTACTAGGGAACAAATGTACTTAGCATACAGTCTTGTGGAAAGTAAAGACGATTTTTTAAAAATTGTACCTTTTGATTTAAACACATGAGAAATTTTCTTATACAGTGGAAATTTCCAGCTATCTGGGTTTTTTTAAAATGAGGAACCTGTTTTACAAATTGATTTTGTGAAAGTTTAGCCTTTACTTAAACTTGGTGTATTTCTGTGAAAAGATAGCTATACTTTCTTTTGTTGTTTTATCTTTTGGTTCTAGAATTTGTCCTTGGGAAGATAAGGTAATTAGTGTTAACAACTTGTTAATTGGGTATTTAGCATGATTTGATAGGAGCTTGTCTTTATAGTGTGATTAAGTTTCGAAGTGTTAAAAAGAAATTTAAAGCTATCTTAGATTTGAGCAACAAAATGTAAACTGAAAAACCATTTTCATTTTGTTTTGAGCAAATCAGTCTTGTAATCTGACTTGCATTTTTATTTTGAAGTTACTATGCATTAATGCACACAATTTTTGTTAGAAGATTTGTGTTACTCCAGGTGTCAGCACACAGCTAAATCCTGGTCACACAGCTTACTTTCTTCTGGAAAGATAGTCCTGAATCATTTGACAGCAAATACTTTGTCATGATCTTTTGCATAGGACAGCATTAGATCCAGTTTAGAGTTAATGTTAACCAATGCCTGGTGAGCAGTTGCTATGTGCCAGGCACTGTTGTGTGTGTTTTACCTGTATTCATTTAATCATTGAAACAACCCCTGCTACACTTCTGAAAGTGATTTTCACATAAGAAAAACTTACTGTGGCATTCTAAAAATGAATTTTATTTAAACTTTCCTAATTCTGCAACACTTCTAAGTGTTTTTCTTGATTGTACCTATTATTAAACAGTGACAGTTCTAAATTTGGATAATTTGATACAATTATTTCCATAGCATCAAGTTAGTACAAAGTGCATTGACCCATTAACATTCCCATTCATTTGTTTAAAATGCCAAATTAAATACTTCAAATGTTTATGTATTTTATTATAGCAACATACTCTTTCATCAAATTAGATGTAAACTCATTTTCTCTGCCAAGTAATACTTAAATACTAATGGATAGATAAAATTTATATATGCTTCTTGACCTGGTGATGTGTTTTGTGGTTCTGCTGCTTTTTAGTACTCTATCACCAACTATAGATATTTCTCATTTCTAAATATTAACAGGGGAAAGGAAGTTATACTACAAGAAAACACTAGAATTTCAAATGAGAATTTTTCTTCCCTATATTAGATAATGCCTGTATATATGGATGGAATTTTAGAAATTTATAATTAAGAGATTTCCAAGACAGACTTTAGGAGGATTTTACATGTCTTACATTAGATAAGAAAGCATTTGACTCTGTTTGGGGGGCTAGGGAATGGGAGGGGAAGAAGGATAGTATTTTCCAATAACGGAGCTTAGCCCACATTTTGTCTTAGTTGAATTGCTGTTTGAATGTTTTATCTTCCAATTATAAAACTTTTGAGGATGTGAACTTTGTATATATAAGCATGTCTTTCACCTATGGCGCCATATGTATATGAAGTAGATACTCCATAGATTTTAACGTGAAGAATCATAATTATTAGCTCTGGAAGAACTGTAAAGCTATTCAGAGTTAATCTAGAGTTACACTTGTATTTTTCTGGCTCAGAAAACTGAGGTATAGGTAATGAAAGTGACCTTACACATCATCACTTTGGATGGGTCAGGGACTGAAGTTCCTTGGTCTGGTGCTCTTCCTCATGCAACAATGTGATGAACTTTGTTAGAGCATTGTGTACCTATTGGTTAGCTCAGTTTAATCTGGGGCAAATCCTGTCAAGCTGATTCTTGGTATTTAATGGAACATATATCAATTGCATTTTATGTGTATGGATAGATTTTTTTAAAAATTAGGCTCCCAAGACAGATTTTAAAATGATTTTTACATGTATGTTGGAAAACTTTGGCCAACTGTGCAACCAAATTTTTTTTTTTTTTTTTTTTGAGACAGGTTCTCACTGTGTCACCCAGGCACAATCACTGCCTAGACTTCCTGGGCTCGTAGGCTCAGGTGATCCTCCCACCTCAGCCTCCTGAGTAGCTGGGTCTGCAAGTGCCTGTAATCATTCCTGGCTAATTGTTGTATTTTTTGTAGAGGTGGCGTTTCGCCACATTGCCCATGCTGGTTATCAACGCCTGGGCTCAAGTGATCCACCTTGGCTCCCCAAAGTGCTAGAATTACAGGTGTGTGCCACCATGCCTGGCCACCTGAAATTCTTTTAGTAGCAGTCCCCAACCTGTCCTTGGTATTACAGTGCCTTCTCATAGAGGCAGCCTACACTTTACGTGAGAAATGGAGGGAATAATTCATCTGTAGCTCGTTTAGTGATTTAGGTGAAATGGGCATCTAATAAGCATTTTCTATTAGTTTCAAATTAAAATATTAGGTATATCACCCCTGATAATGGACCTGTTGATCGAAATGGTAGTCGGATGCCCTAAACAAGGGTAAGAAAACGGCCAGGAAAATGCTTGTTTTTGTAGAAATGTTTTAAAGTTAATCAAATTGATTTTTTCAGAATTGGCAGTTTGGAAATAGCCAGGTGTGGTGGTGGGCGCCTGTAATCCCAGCTGC